TTTTTAACTAAAAAGCTAAAATGTGAAAAATGGAACCGAAACCAAGGTAAACATGTTAAGTTTTAAAGACTATTTTCAGATGTTGTAAAGGGAAAATTATTGTTCCTTGTCATTAAATCCTAGAGGACACATTTTTCCTTCTGAGTCATGATGGTATTTTAATTAGATTACATTTTATTGGAGGCTTTTGTCTTTCTTTTTTTAACAATCTGTATAAAAAAAAATACGGCCCTTTTTACGTATGCACGGAGGAAAAATCATTTTTTTGTCATTGTCTTTGGCAACTCATTCAATCCAATCCAAAACCAGGAGTAGTTTATTTATGTCTTACCAACATAAGACATAATGTATATCTAAAGTGCATTATGTTACAATATATATATATAGATAGACAGATAGATAGATAGAAAGTCAGCAGCACCAAGATAAAAGTTCATGGAAATAAATACATTATTCAACACAATAAATTATGGTAAATGTGACAACAAGTACAAAATTTCCCTCCCCAGTATTCACAATGTTCAAATGTGCAGCTTTGGAGAACATCTGCGGCCAAGGTTTTATTTTGAATCATTTACAATATTTACAGATAATAAATACTTTCCATATGTTCACAATTACAGAACAGTTGAGTAAGTTTTCCAAAAAAATCTTAGCGGAGGATGTCAACGCCTCCTGTGAAGAAAAGAAAAAAAGGGAGAGAATTATTTTCCCATACAAATAACTGGACACGTTAATAGTCTCATCACAAAAGTTCTGTGTCTCTAGGAAGAGTTGATGGACAACATACAATCGTTCTAAGGATTTTGGACCAACTAATCTCTCATGTACATGGCTTGCCAGTACAATGAAATTAATAATGCAAAGTGTGATGGGAAATATCTTCCAAGAAGCTGTGAGTATACACACACAATAGACATAGACACAGATGATTAGGGATCTAGAGGCTAAAACCTATGAAGAACGGTTGTGGGAACTGGGTATGTCTAGTCTAATGAAGAGAAGGAGTAGGGGCAGCATGATAGCGGTCTTCCAATGTTTGAGGGCCTGCCACAAAGGGGGTGGGGTCAACCTATTCTCCTAGGCACCTGAAGGCAAGACAAGAAGCAAATCATGGAGACTCATCAAGGAGAGAAGCAACCTGGAACTAAGAAGAAACTTCCTGACAGTGAGAACAATCAACCAGTGGAACAGTTTGCCTTCAGAAGTTGTGGGTGCTCCATCACTGGAGGCTTTTAAGAGATGTTTGGCCAGAATGATATAGGCTGGACTAGAAGACCTCCAAGGTATCTTGGCTGAATTTTGTAATGACTAGTTAAAGGAATTGATATGTTTAGCATACAGAAGATAAGGCTTTGGGGAGACATGCTAGAAGTCTTCCAGTACATGTCCTTTGATTACAACAGGGAAGAAGGTCTGGGTTTATCCTCAGACTGTCCAGGTATAAAAAGCAATAGGTGAAAGCTTTGCAGAGTGAGTTCCAATCAGGATAACCATGATAGCTATTAAGTAGTGGTCTTTATAGCATCATGATGTCTCCATCATCAGAGGTTTTCAAACCAAGCGTGGATAGCTGTTTGGGATGATTTGAGGGTCCCTGCCTTAGGCAAGAGGCAATTGGTCTAGAACAGGGGTCTTCAAACTTGGCCCTTTTATGACTCACGGACTTCAACTCCCAGAATTCCTCAGTCAGCGTACCTGGCTGAGGAAGTCTGGGAGTTGAAGTCCATGAGTCATAAAAGGGCCGAGTTGGAAGACCCCTGGTCTAGAAGAAGTAGAACATAGAATAATGGAGTTGGAAGGGACCTTAGAGATCTTCTAGTCCAACCCTCTGCCCAAGCAAGAGGCTCTATGCCATTCCAGACAGTGATAGTCCAATCTCTTCTTGAAAGCCTTCAGTGATGGAGCACCCACACCTTCTGAAGGCAAGCTAATCCATTGGTTGATTGGTTGGTTGCTCTAACCATTAAGAATTTTCTTAGTTCTAGGTTACTTCTCTCCTTGGTTAGTTTCCATCCGTTGTTTCTTGTCCTGCCTTTTGGTGCTTTGGAAAATAGGTTGATCCCCCTCATCCTTGTTGGAGCCCCTCAAATATTGGAACCAGCTCTACATTTGCATGACTCTTAGTGGGTTTTTTTTAGAGCTGCATGTTCTAAAAGATAAAACACTTCCACATCTGGAAGTCCATCTTCCAGGCCACTTTAGCAGCCTTATTCCCAAGGCTAGTGGATCAATGCATAGTTTGCAAATGGAGGAACTAAGCAACTGGTTGAATGAGACCTTCTGAAGGATGTGGATGAGATATGGAGAACACTAAAGTTATATCAGTGTTTTTATAACACTTGATATCTTTGCTAATCAAAATGAGCTACTAGCCTGAGGTCTAGGTTTTCACACCTAACTGTAGCTTGAGGGACCGTGTTATCCTGCCAAGCGCACCCAGGACTTTGACACAATCCTCCAAAAACATCTCTTATCTAGGAATCCATGGGAAGTTGGATGAAACAACAGATCGCAAACTTTCAGGTGTTTTGTAATCCCCTTGCTTTTATCTTGCTTTATCTCCAGTGATGTAAACGGAACTGGGGTTTAATTTGGCCCACGCCAGGGGGATTCCTAAATTAAACTTACAGTTTACTCTCCTGACAGTACTAGCATTTTTGGCAAATATACGATACAAGTAAATGCATTTGGCCTATGTAACAAGGGCGTATTAAGAGGCATTCCAGATAGCTGTGAGATTAATGAAATTCCCTTCCTGCAGCAACTTCCACAAACATCTCAAGACCCTCTTCTCTGGTTTGGAATTTACTAGTTTAGTATGAACTGACATGTAGTTTGCCCCAGAAATCGTGGGTGCTCCATCACTGGAGATTTTTAAAAAGAGGCTAGACAGTCACTTGTCTGAGATGGTATAGGTTCTCCTGCTTGAGCAGGGGATTGGACTAGAAGACCTCCAAGGTCCCTTCCAGATCTATTCTATTCTATTCTATTCTATTCTATTCTATTCTATTCTATTCTATTCTATTCTATTCTATTCTAATTTTCCATTCCATATTCTATTCTATTCTATTCTATTCTATTCTATTCTATTCTATTCTATTCTATTCTATTCTATTCTATTCTATTCTATTCTATTCATGAAACTTATATACATCCCGACTTCTGGAAAACAGTGAACCTAGCTTCCAAATCAGCAATCTGAAGCAAGATGCAGAGGTATAAAACAGAGAGGCAAGCAGGGTGACATAAAGAGACAGACTAGCTACTGAGCACAAAACGGAGAAGGTGTCTCCTTACAAATGTTCTCCTAAATGTTGTGTCCCCAGTGCAGAAACAGGCTCCCTGGCCATGTCATGAGAACAACATCAGATACAGGATGCTTCGAAAGTGGGACAGCTGCAATTCCATTGGGCAGAAAGGGAAACAGAGGCTGTCATACTTTGGTCACGATGTGAGAGTTGACTCACGCCAAAAAGTCAATCATGCCAGGCGTGATCAATGGGAAAAGGAGAAGGGGCTGCCCTGGTGCCCACTGGCTGGACAGTGTAAAGGATGACCATGAGGGATCTGAAGGAGGCAGTGCAAGAGAGAGGGGCATGGAGAGTGCTGGTCAATAGAGTGGCCGAGAGTCGGACAGGACTGAATGGCTGACGAGGAAAAAGGGAATGGCTTTGGGTTACTCCTTTTCCTTAATTACCTGTCTGAAATATATCTTAGAAATCCTTGAAGATAGATAGATAGATAGATAGATAGATAGATAGTAGGTAGGTAGGTAGGTAGGTAGGTAGATAGATAGATAGATAGATAGATAGGTAGATCGATCGATCGATCGATAGATGGATGGATGGATGGATGGATAGATCGATTGATCGGTAGGTAGGTAGGCAGGCAGGCAGGCAGGCAGACACAGGCAGAGATAGATGATGGATAGATCGATCGATCAATCGATCAATCGATGGATGGATGGATGGATGGATAGATAATAGATAGATAGATAGATAGATAGATAGATAGGTAGGTAGGTAGGTAGGTAGGTAGGCAGGCAGGCAAGCAGGCAGGCAGACACAGAGATAGATGATGGATAGATAGATAGATAGATAGATAGATAGATAGATAGATAGATAGATAGATGATGGATAGATGGATGGATGGATGGATAGACAGATAGATCGATAGGTAGGTAGGTAGGTAGGCAGGCAGGCAGACAGGCAGGCAGACACAGACAGAGATAGATAGATGATGGATAGATAGATAGATAGATAGATAGATAGATAGATAGATAGATAGATAGATAGATATATAGATAGATAGATAGATAGATAATAGATGGATGGATGGATGGATGGATGGATAGATAGATAGATAGATAGATAGATAGATAGATAGGTAGGTAGGCAGGCAGACACAGACAGAGATGATGGATAGATAGATAGATAGATAGATAGATAGATAGATAGATAGATAGATAGATAGATAGATAGATAGATAACCTTTATTGTCATTTTTTTACTGTGGGCACAATGACACACATTAAAAATGAAATTTAGTTGCTTGCTCTCAAAGTGTGCACATACATAACACACATTTAAACATTCTCTATACAACATGTGTATAGATCCTGCACCTTTACATATAAGTAGCGTATAAATATTAATCACTGTCCATCTTGAATGCATAACGGAAGGAGGAAGCTTGAGAGTTCACAAGGTTAACACCGGATGGGACAAAATGGTGGAGGTCCTCTCCTGCGGAGATATTCTAATGAAGGCAAAACACCTTTTGAAACAAATCTGCCAGAAGGATCGTGGCCTCCTTGGAATGCCACCAGCTACACTTGAAATGAGATCAGCTCTGCCAGTTTCTCCTGCTTTTTGGAAGGTTACTCTAAACCTCTGAAGGGTGAAAAGAGTCAGCATGTACCCAAACAACAGGCCAGTGTGTGAGAACGTCACGCAACTGGAAGGGTCCAAGCTGTACAGGCTGACCCTGTGGTGTGATTTGAACAGTCAGCTGGAAATCCTGCACAGTGATTAGCAGAAGGCCAAAACTGCCTAGATTTTCCTGAACATTACATGACAATAATTCATTTCATTATTATTATTTCTGAAAATGATCTTATGGAATGGGTGCAAAGCGCTCTCTCTCTCTCTCTCTCTCTCTCTCTCTCTCTCTCTCTCTCTCTCTCTCTCT